GTTTTATATCATGTTATAATGTTATACTCTCATAAAAAACATGCCCAAAGCCTTGCTCTGACTCGTTCATGCATGTTTGAGAAATCCTGCAGCATTTTTAGGAAGCCATGCTGAGGAGCAAAACGACAGGTGGGGACCAGAAATGCCTTTTGGGACCAGAAACGCCAGAAAGGCTCTCGGGTGAAACTGAAACTGTCTGCTGAGCTCCACTAATTCTCACTCAGTGAAGCTCTTTTCAGATTAAAAATACTTTTGAGGAAATGTATTTTCAAATGCCAAGTAAACTGCAACATAGCGTATGCGCACCCCCCCCACCCCCGAACGGGACGGAACAGAAGCAGAAGGTTCTTAAAGAGACAGAGGCCAATTTCAAGGCGTTTAGAAGAGGACGTGATGAGAAGATAAGTTTATTTTCTATTTAAACATAAAAACAGCATTTTAATACCAACTAAAGATGACATAGATACTTTAGTATGGTATAGTATTTGAATATATGCCTGAGAAACACATAATATTGGCCCTTTAACTCACCGATTCAGTAAAATATGTTTTTCAGGCAGTAGACTGAAAATATTCTTGATATTATTAAGTTTCACACATTATTCTACATTATTTGTGCTAAAGAGGACTTAGATTTTCTCATCTTGTCATAAAAAATCCTCACTCATGGTATTTACTGTCCTGTTTCTTAAAGGGAGCATATGTTTTTAAATCCTTCTTTTTACATTTAAATCATTTAGTTGGGGTCTATATAAAGTGGAACCACAATGCTTTGGTCTGAGTTCCTCTTTATTGTAACTCCACAAGCTCCTCTTTCACCCGTGTTCTGAGGTGTGTCTCAGATCAACTCGTTTTGAGGCTGTCCCTTCAATCCCAAATGAGGTGCTTCAAGTCCCGCCCCCCTTCAGCTTCCTGACCGTTCCATTCCAGTTTGATAGAGGGGTGACGTTTGTCTAGCAGTGCAGAAACATTTTATTTACAATGTCCTGATCCATCTTAATAATCCAGGTAGAAAAATCTAATCTTTGTCCCTAAATACTAACCCCTGTACTACTACTCAACCCATTTTTAGGTTTTATTTAAAAATGAATTAAAAGATGTCAACAAGGGAAGACTTGTCCATCCAGCCTTACATGTTGGAGCCAGAGTCTGACCCAGAGCCAGAGGAGAAAGAAGACCACCAAACTTAATCTGTAACAGATTACGACACACAGATTCAAGTAAAATGTTTTGCAGCAAGAACATAAATGATGCCTGTTGTTAACTCAGTGGATGTTTTCTGTTCTGGTGCTGAACACATTGGATGTGCAGGGTGTGCACTGCACTGTTGTTGTTTTTTCTGTTCAGTTTAAAATGTTCCCACACTTTTGACTTTCTGTGCTCTTCATCTCCCTCCTAGCTAAAAATAGTACTTAGCATACACAACAACAGTGTAGCTGTTACCTGAAGCCCTAGTGTTGTGCAACACAAATAATGTTCCTGCTGGACAAAAGTACACTAAATACTTTAACCGTGTCTATAACAAAGCTTTGAGGCAAATAATTTACCTCAAGGATTTTTTTGTAATTGAAATACTCAAATTATTCGAGGAATTGTTTCAACCTTAACATATTTTTATATTGTACATAACTGCTGCTGGAGGTGTTCTGAGTGAGATTTATTCTGTTGAACGGATTAAACTTGTGTGTGTGTATATATACACTCACCGGCCACTTTATTAGGTACACCTGTCCAACTGCTCGTTAACACAATTTCTAGTCAGCCAATCACATGGCGGCAACTCAGTGCATTTAGGCATGTAGACATGGTCAAGACAAC